CCTGTGAGCTTGTCCGTTCCTGTGGGGCGACTGAAGGCGGTTCGGAGGGAATCTGTCATTGAACAGCCCGGCGCAGCGGTTTGTTTCTGGGCTGGCAGTCTGGAAGATGAGCCATGTGATTCAATCTTCTTGTGTAATACCGAAGTTCGAAACAATCTCGCTTCTTTTTGTCGTCGTTTAAAGACGTGTAGTGGCTCTGACTTATGTTTGCTTATTTATTGCTGGTTGGTTTGTTTTGAGGGCCAGTTTTTGGCCTTGAATGTAAAAGCCTGCATTGGCCCTGATTCTGCGAGCATTTAGACACCTAAAAATTAGTGGATGCGTAACAAATAGTGCTAAAATAGTCGCTTGATTTTTCTGTTTCCTTTCTCTTCTGACTCGGTAAGATTGGTATCAGGAGTTAATTATAGTTGCATTTTTAGAAGGTGGCTCTGTAGAGTATATATACACACACGCCAACATGTGTGATTGACCTTGATGTCTTCAAGCAACTTGAGCTGTATGAGCTGCCCCTCCCTGCCTGTATCTGGTTTGCCAACCACTTGGAAAACGGTCCTGCATGACAGAGAAGATCGGGTCCCAGGCTGACTTCTTTTAAAGAAAGAGGCGAGAGAAGAAGGCTTAGAAGAGTTGAAAGATGGAAGGGGTACTGAGAGGTGGCCTTTCAGGAGCCAGAGACCACAGTGGTTTAGCCCATGTACCAGGAAGTTTAGTATAGCTTCCGTAGTGGGCCTAAAACCAGCCAACATGGAGCTGAGGAGTTCAGTTAGAATGCTGCCAGGTAGAGGGGGGCGTGAAGTTGTCTTTTAAGTGTCTCTGCAGACTAAGCACTGCTGGCTAGGACTACAAAACACATATTTACGAGCTCAAGTTGCAAACTAAAATTTAAAACCAATTTTGTGACTCTCAAAGTTAAATGCAGAAGGACGTGGATTAAGTCAGAGTTCCAGATTAGTTTCATTCGCACCACGTAGGCAGAATGTGAAACCTAACTTTTAAAAAAATTTCTTATGAATGACTAGTGCTGCTTAGTACAGTTAGTCAGCTTTTAAGTGTTTACTTAATTTGCAAATGTGGTTAAAACTTTAAATTTCTACAGGAATCCTTATGAAGAAAAATATAGATTAATTCGGATTGGAAATCCAGCATTTTCCACGAGGCTGTTGCCTGTAAGAGGAGCAGTTGAATGTTTATTTGAGATGGGGTTTCAAGAGGTAAGTATAACTTAGTCATTTCTGGTGTCTTCATGAGTTTACACACTAAAATTTAAAATAGGATTTTTTTTTTCCTTTCCCAGTTGTAACGCACTTGATTTTGAGTCAATTGCTATTTTCTTATTTTTTTTCAGTCCTTGTTTGCAAATACCTGCCGTTAACCAATGGAAAATGTAGATGAGGCTAGTTCAGAAACCTGATGGAGCTAGAGCTAAGCTGATCTGTGATAAGACTGATTCTCTGCTGTTCAGACGCACTACTGGTTTTCTTAATGGCCAGATATATATCCATGCTGGCACAAAGGAAATGGTGGGAAATGGGGTGAAAACCCCTTCTCTTAAGTAGCAGCTCACTATTGGGCAGCCATCAGACTGCATCATCAGACAGTAGTTTCCATATTGTAAATCTGTGCGATGAAACCGTCGTTTGAAAGGGGGGGAAAAAAAAGTCCTGCTCTTCTGCTGCTTGTTCCTACTATCAGTGGGGCTTGTGTGGCCCCGTAGTGAGTTAGATAAGGGAGGCAGATCTGATTTAAAAATTAATCCCCTGAAACAAACAAAAAAGAAATATTTTTCAGCCAGTTCACAGTGCAGCTGCAGAGGTACTGGTGTTGTCCTGACAGCAGTGGAGGGCAACAGACTATTGAAATAGTGGGAGGTTGAGACTTTTACCCTTTTAGAACAGTTATGAAACTGTATCCTAAAATAGTATTGAGTGAATCTTGTTTCTGTTGCAGTCACAAAAATGTAGTTTGAAGATTGCTTTGTGTCCTGAAATGCTTCCTGTCTTAGTGGAACTTAAGCTGCCAAAGCTTATTAAGCTAGAAACAGCCTCTATAATTACAGGGAAGCTGGGGTGAAAACCCGACTCTTGTTTAATGGTGCAAAGCTCTTGCTCCAGCTTTGCTTTGCTTTGTGTATTTGATGCCATGCTTCTTAATGGGTACATACGTTATGTTATTTAGGTCCAGCTGTCATGAGACCTCTGTCTTCTCTTTGGGTTAATTAGTGTAGTTGTCCTAATTAAAAAAAAAAAAAATACGCGGAAAGAAATGGTGACTGCAGAGGGAGAAACGGTCTGCAGATTTATTATCATGCTGATGCTCAGGAGATGACTTTTAATGATGTGTTTTAGCCAAGAGGTAGCCAGTGTAGCTAGCGAAGCACTCAAGCAATAATAACAGTCACTTTAAACATATTATGAAGTGCTACTCCCACTCCTGTCAGATCTTTAAGACCATGTTGGCTAAGTCTAATAGTTATTATGTCAATTGAGGCTGGAGCTCACAAACTTCTTCTCAACTGAAATAACTGAAATTGTGCCTTCTTTTGTCTCTCCTTGGTAAGCCAACTGTTTCAATTAAAAATGAGGACTCTTCTGTTGGATTGATACATTCCATTTAGTTTTGTGGTGATTGTAAGTGTTAATGTGAAGCACCGCGTCTGCAAGGATAGGTGACCTAAGGTAGCTGGCTAAACAGATTACTCAGTTTAATAAATAGAAGTGCTGCAGTGGCAGAAACTGAAACTCTTAAAGTATGAATGCTTCAGGATATTCATATTTTTAGTAATCTTTTTCTTCGTGTTAAGTACACTGATACTTGCTTCTATCATAATTACTAATCTCTTGTTATGCGACCAGTAATCATGTTACAGTCAAAAATAGGAACACAGAAATCGAGCTGGGTACAGGTCTCAGTAGGAATAATAATTCCTATCTGAAAACTTATAAAACCTAATAGATATCAGTATAGGAAGAGAATTCCCAGCAGATGCCTTGCTAGAGCCTTCTTCCCCCACTATTGGCTGTCCTCCTGTGTTGCCTGGTGCTTCACTGCTGTACTGTGAGAACTGAACATTTGTTGTTCATTTCTGTTGTTGCTGCTTTCTCTGCCAAACCATAATTGCATTGTCCATGTGTGGCTCTGCAAAATAAGTTACTAACAAAAACATGTTGCTATGAACCCCTTTTTCTCTAGGCTGACTGTAGGTTCTTGATCCAATGGCTTCTGCCGTAAGGGACCTAATCTGAAGGCTGAATCCTGCCAAGTCTTAGCATGCTAACTTCCAGTAAATGATACAGCTGTTAGCTATAAATACAAACAGCTCAGTAGCTGAGATCTGCATTAACTGCTGAATTAATTTCTCTGAATTTCAGGGAGAAACTCACCTGGTTTTTCCTAAGGAAGCTTCGATTGAACAGCTACGTAAAATCAGAGACTTAATTGCTGGAGAAAGGAGTAGCAGACTGAATGAGTCAAATCAAATCCACAGGTCGGGATCCACTGAAACTGTGGCTAGCACTCAGACAGTTGCACATCAGCCTTCAAGACCTGCTGACTCTGTTCTTGCCGCTGCCCATCAGCAACCAGAAACATCACTTGTGCAATCTCTTGAAAAGGTAATTATAACCTGAAAACTTTGTAGGTGCACTAATCTTGAATATAAAGATTGAAGAAGAGTTAAGTTTTGGGACAGGTTGCTCAGACAGGATGTGTAGTCTCCAGATGTGGGCATTTTCAAGACCTGGCTGGATGAAGCCGAAAGCAACTTGGTCTGACCTCATAGCTAGTCCTGCTTTGAGCAGGAGGTTGGACTAGAGGAACTTTTTCTTTTTCCAGTAGTTTCTGGAGTTTTTGAGTGTTTTCTTCAGTCTCCATGGAACTTTATAATGAAGTGTGCCAGATCAGTGGAAGAGAAATGGCAAAGCATAGATTGAAGTGATGGCATTTGGGGAGAGAGAGCACTTGGTGACCCATCATCACCCATAATGTCCTCTGGGAATGGAATTGTTATAGGCACTTCAATATTGAGCCATTTGATCCAATTATGTTAGCATGCCTGTAGTTGCCTTTAAAATATACTGGCTGGGTTTGTTTGAAGATTTCTGTTTTCTTGGTCTGTTTCATGGGTTTTACTGTTTCAGCTGCTTCTGCAGTAGTGGTTGGAAGGGATTATGACTTGCTGCAGTACAGGTCAGTACTGGAAGTTTTAAAAGTTGTGTTGATCTTGCATTGAAAAAATTGTTGCAGATTTCAAGATGATGCTTGATGTATTCTGAGGCTAAACCTTCTCATTTGTCGTTATTCTGCCCTGTCTTACGCTAGTCATCGAATTTGTGGATCCATTTCTCTGCAACTGATTTTTCCATGCTTCATGAGATTCAACGTAGGTGGTGGGACCAAACTTACTCTAATTTGGAGACATTGCTAATGCAATGTTGGCACTGTATTAGAATGCTGTGTTTCAGCTGGTGTCTTCAGGGAATTACACTGATAGCGCTCTGAGCCATTCAGTTTGATCTTTATAGTCTGAGTTGATTGGAAGGAAGTCCATAAAATATCTTCTGGCTATGACTCGGCCATTTTGCTTGCACAGCAGTAAGTGTTTTGACTTTCAGTGACTATACTGTAGTGGTATAGTTGTATTGTTGTTGTGTGTGCTGCAGTCAGATGTCAGAGAGATTGAGTGGTTTTTGTACTGCAAGCATTTTTATTTCTTTCCTATATGTTACACCTGTGATTCATGGGAGTCCCAGTAAGCACATGGAAAAGTGGATTACTTGGGACAGCACACAAATATTCCTAAATCGCACCATTTTAGGGATCTAACCCATCATTACCTTGCCTCATGCATGTCTCTTCTGTGTTGTTTATTGTAAAGCATTATTCAGAGTTGGAGAAGGAAAGCTATGGCTAGTCATTATTCTAGTGGATGGATTCTGATCACCTCCTGGATGACATAGTGATTATAGGAGGAAAGAGGTATCTAAACTTAGATTTGCAGTGAGGTTAACAACACTTCTAGATGTTTGCATAAGACTTCGTTGGTGTACAGTGGCTTCCGTGAAACCTGTTGAGCACTGCTGTAGCACTGATGGTGTTTGCCAGTGGGAAAATCTGAATTGTAAAGAATCTGGGAGACGTTCCGTTGTGCTGAGCGATATCTCTGAACACTCTTTCAGGGAGCTGACAGAGCATGAAGATCTGTAAGCCGTTGGCAGTCACTAACTTCCCTTGTTTCTGTTCTTTCAACTTGCATTAAAATGAGTGTGAACACAATTGGGTTTATGATGTTAAACCAGTTACTTACGGCTGATGAGCTCCAGGAAGAGCGAAACCAGTTCTGTTCTGTTTCAGCAGTTATAAAAAGTAAGGACTGGTCCTGTAGTACTGTCCAGCATCAAAGTAATCACTCCTAATTTAAATGCTCCTTTGGAAGAAGTTGTCTTCTGCAGAGTTCTTACAGCTGTGTACTATGTTGCATTTGCTGCTATTATTTCAGGCAAGTGTGGTATTTAACAAGACAAGCATGATCTAGTGGTAAAGAAAAGATAATTTAGCAGTGCCACAGACTTCCCCCCCAAATATGCCAGACTTAATTTTAAAATCCCATTTCACTTTCTGTGTTGTTCGCCTTTTAATGGGAGTACATAGTTTGCTCAACTGCTAACTCTACTATTCACTTCAGCTATTTATTTTAGTAGATATGAGTGTACCTTGCTGAGCACAACACGTAGTTGCCATGAAGTGACACTTAAGAGAGCTAACTGAAGAAGCCTAGTTCTTATATTCTATTTCTAGTGAAATACGCTGTGGAGTATATGGTCACAGGGCTGTCTGTTCGAGTTTGTATCAGAGTTGATCCCCGAGAGAAGGAAGTAGAAATAGACAAGCAGCATTCATGAATAAGAAATAGAAAAGCAGCATTTGTCAATAATTGAGTTCTATGAGATGGTACAGCAGTGTCCGGGAAATGGAATAAATTACAAGTCCTTGCATGGATTTCAGGTAAGAGGTGTCCAAAAGAAATTGGCAGGGCTGGGGAGTAAGGCAAAAACTGTGCCATTAGAGGTGTCTTCAAAACCAGTTTTCTCCCTGAATCAGTACACTTTTCACTCGGGACACTATTTGGAATGCTTAAAGATGACATGGCTGGCATTACAGTTTGGGTGGGGGTGTCTGCAATTTTTATTGATATCTTGGAAATAAACATTTCACCTGTAAAGAAATATGTAATGTAACTATGAGTAGAGAATTGTGACTGACGAGCTAAAATAGGAGAGCTTGGTTCTTCTGATTTAAGGTGGAAGTTCATAAATCATCTTGTGACTGAAAATCCTTTTGCAGGCTGCAAATATATTGAAAACACTTCAAACAAAATTTGAGCATCTTGTATTGATGTATGAGAATCCTTCTATTCAGCAGAAAGCACTAGCTTCAATTCCCCTCCAGCAATTGAAAGGGAAGGCTCAGAAAAAGCTAGCACAAGCTACAAGACTCGACAAAGGTAATGCTACCAAGTTATAATGTATATGAAACTAGACATGTTCTTTCAAACATCTGAATGATGCGTATACCTGCTATGCTTTAGGCGTGTGAATTTGGTCATGTATCTGCAGCTTTCAAATGCTGTCTCTAAATGGACATTACCTTCTTGCTAATTTTAAAATTGTCTACTCTTTCCTTTTGTTTCTTATTTCATTTTATTTTTGTCATCCATCCTTTACTGCTTTCACATAGAAATTTTGAACTCTTAATTTATGAATTAGTAGTAAACAATGCTGGGGAAAGAAATGGGCTGAGCATATGCTGTTATATTTCTTGCATCTCGAGTGAAATAACTACAAGAGGAGGGGAGCTTCTTGTTTGAGTTGTCATTGTTATGAATTTGTCAGAGTGCAGTTTTCCCATATGTACGACACTACCAAATTCAGAATAAAATTTGACAATGCTGCTTCTCTTTTTGAAGTGTTATTATTGGTGAGACTTTGCATGAGACCTTTCCAAGACACAACATGATACAAAGAATCACCTTTTATGCTAATACTTAAATGGATAGGGTTGTTCATGTGCCATCCTCTTGGAGCTAGAAGTGAAACATAGGCATAAATATTTGTGGCATTAGTGGCTAAAACTTGTATTTTCTTTATAAATGCAAGTTTGTTTTGAATGTAGTAAGTCTTTGTCAGTTAAAAACGACTTTTCTATTTTCAAATGACAGTTTTAGATTTGTTTAGCAATATAGTGAAATTTTACTTGTACGAGAAATATTGAAATAAAAACCTGCTTCCATGACCATAATTTAAACCAAACAATCCTTTTCACTGTGAACCTGTGATAGAAGACTCTCGGTGAAGCAATTGTGCCAGCTTGATGGTAGTGCTGTTGATTTGTAAACCAAAAATAAGCTCTTCTCATCATTTTTATGAATGACTTTGTGATGTCTCATACAGCCACACACTAGTATGTAATTGTACCTTTGGCATTAGGGAACTTTTTTACAATGGATTTTCTTAGCAATTTTTCTCTTTTTATAAAGCTGTATTGGGAGGTAGTAAACTACATAAACAAGCAGAAAGCGTTCTTGTTCAGTAACATAGGACAGTGCAATGGGGAAAAGAGACTTAGCAGTAATAAATGAAAACTATTTATATTCTTTTAAAAATGGGGGGGGGGGGAAAACTCATTATTTAAAAAGGGGAAGGAAGGAGCAGGGTGGTGTTTCCAGATGCATCTTCCCAAGCCATCAAGCTGATCTATTCAAAATGGCTTCCAGACCCTAATTTAGAGACAAATAAAGGGGAAGGGATAGAACTCCACTGTTTTGGACTGTGACAGTTTGAAAGTGTTTTTAAAGAGCTTCATAGAAACATTCCTCTGGGAATAGACTGTGTATGAGATGTGTGGATAATTGGCCCTTTCATCTTCTTTCGTTTATCTGTACTGCTGTGTTAAGACTGTCACATGTGGGAGTAACTGCTTGGTGCTCAGGGACACTTGTTTTTAGGACTTCCCTTAGAATGTAAAATAGGCATTTTTGACTCATAAAGACTGTACTAGGCCGGTTACAGTCTTTTGATCAGAAGTACGGTTTTGTGGCATTGTTTTTGCAGTTTACCAGTTTCCGTTAGAAAGGTGGATTGTGCAGTCAAAAACAGCTGCGTGGCACAGCCAACTGTTTTCTGTTCAAATAAATCACATTCGTCATTCTTTCCATGCAATGTTTTGATGATGGATTTATTTTACGAACCCAGAGAAGAATATTTATATGATAACAGTAATTTTCATAGATGGTTTCTGGTTTGTATGTTGTTATTCAGGAAAAGAGAATATGGCCTGTGCTCAAAATCATCTCGTTCAGTTTTTAGTTGACGTGCAATCAAATCCATTTTGTAAGCAATAACACCTTGTCTTAGTGTTTCAGTACAAACAACGTTCACATATAGTGAAAATGATAATAAGTAACAATAGAAATTTTACTACAATTAGAAGTCAGGTTTTCTTGCGCTTCATGGTCTTGGCAATGTACGTTCAGTATAATTAGGGCCCCGACAGATTCCTTTGTGCCAAACACTACTTAGTTCAATTCACATCTTTCTCTGAAGCTGTAAATGAATAAACTACACATTTTGCCTAGTCTTTTTTCGCCATCCTGAAAAAGGAGCTAGCGCACAAATTTGCAGCTTCCTTCAACTTCTTTTAAACGGCATTTTTAGAAATTACTTTTAGTTCTTCATATTCATTAGTTAGACCTATCTGCACTGTGACTACAAGCAAACTATAGTAGATAAAATAACCAAGTATTAATATCTATGGTTGCAGTGTGGCCTAGATTATGTAGTTAATAGGAGAACTTAGTTGAATGTTTATGAATCTGAGAAGGAAGAGAATCTCTCTGAGTACTGGAGCAAAACATATGTTTAAAGACTCTGAGTTAGAAGGGATGAATCTCTGTTGGAAGACTGGGTTTTTAAATTTATTAATTCAGTAAAGTGGGGTTATCTCCAGTGTGAGTAGATTCTAACACCTGTTGTGAACACAGGAAGATGGGCCAGAAGAGTCTGGTGGTCTGGTGTGGTGGGATCAGCTAGAGTAGAGAAATAAAGACATCCTGTGTCTAGCCTGTGTAAGCTGACAATGGTGTTTATTTGCTGAATTTATAAACAAACTCAAGTTTGTTTACATGATATATGTACATGTTCTAGAGTAATTAACCTGTTGTAGAAAGTCTGTTGATATTACACCTGGTTGTTTAGACTGCTGCCAGTGTCTGGTGCTCTGGAGTTATGAAATCAAAGCAATTGTTATTCCTAGTTTAATAGCCAAGAATAGTAAAAGGATATTTAGGAGCGGAAAAAGAATTAACACTCTCTCTTCTGAAGCCCTGAAAGAATATGAGGGGCATGAGGAACCTTCACCAGGCTTCACTATGTATCTAAATTGTTTTTCTGAGCAATTCCTTATTCTCACTCTAGGTATAGTGTTTGGGTGCAGTTTTTTGTTCTTTAATTATACAGTTTGATATTATCCAGTCTTGAGAATTTAGATTTTTTTTTTTGTGTGTGTGTGCTTAAGTAACATATGAGGTTTTTTTATAATGAGACATCTAAAATATAATAAAGGCCCAGAGATAGTAGATACTGGAAAGTTCAACTAAATTATTTTTTCCATTTGACCTGTGTTGTGTAAATTTTACAGGTGCACATGTGAATGAAGAGGACTTCTTGTTGTTGGAGCTCTTGGACTGGTTTAAGAATGACTTTTTTCATTGGGTAAATAATCTTCCTTGCAGCAGGTGTGGTGGGCAGACAGAGCCTAAAAGTGACTACCTGTTGCCTACTGATGATGATTTAAGGTGGAACGCCAGTCGAGTGGAAAATCATTACTGCCACCAGTGTCAGATCTGTAATAGATTCCCAAGGTGAGTATACAAAGATTTGCTTTGTCTTTTTTTTTTTCCCTTATCTTTCTAGAAAGAGCTTTGCATTTGTGCATTTTGTGAACAAGTGATAAGTTTTTGGCTCAAAGATAAGAGAAGCCATTTTAAGCAACGTGATGGTATGGTTGATGAACCAGCAATTGCTCTATAATAGAAGAGATTTTTAAAAACAATATATTGCTTCCTTTTACATGGCCTTGTTCTGAATACTGGTCTGATTTTCTTCTTTTTTTTTTTTAAGCTCAATTTGATAAAATGCAACTTCTAGATAAAATAAGTTAATATTGGCATACTATGTAGGTAGGCCTGTGTTATTTCAAGGAGAACTTTCACTTCTGTTACAAGGGCATGCAGTGGTAGGACAAGGGGTAATGGCTTTCAAATGTAGGAGGGTAGATTTAGGTTACTGTGGGTAACCCCTCCCTGGGAGTGTTCAAGGCCAGGCTGGAGGGGGCTTGGAGCAGCCGGGTCTAGTGGAAGGTGTCGCTGCCCATGGCAGAGGGGTTGGAACGAGATGATCTTTACGGTCCCTTCCAACCCAAACCATTCTATGAACACAAAGGGTAATGCACATCATCTGCTGAGTCTATAGCAAAAGAGAAAATAGCCATTTTTTTATGTTTTCATTGACTATCAAAAGAACTAGCATACAAAAATAATATTTTAAGATGAAATCTAAGTCAATTTTGAAAACTGAACAAAACCAGACTCATTTCAATGCTGCTGTAAACGTGATGGGTTTGTGTGAGTCAAAGTAAAAGTAGCCTTCTGTTTGCATTTGATTTGTGCAGTAGAGCAGTCATTTCCATTATCTTGTGTGGACTCAATGGCACTGATATCTGTTCAAATCATCGCAATGACAGTCACAATGTAAAGATTTTGAAAGGTGAAATGTATTTTCAGTTATTCTGCTCTTGTTTTGTTTTTCTCCTGTAGGTATAATAACCCTGAAAAACTTCTGGAAACCAGATGTGGACGCTGTGGCGAGTGGGCTAACTGTTTTACACTGTGTTGCAGAGCTGTAGGGTTTGAAGCTAGATATATCTGGGACTGTACAGGTATCAGTATTCTATAATATTGTAATGTTAATACAGACCTGTGCAAAATGAGGTTATATCTTTTATGGTTCTCAAATTGTATTAGCCATCAGGCAGCATATAAAATCGTGCAGTTCAGCTAACAAAGACAGTATAAATTCAATTTCCTGTCTTGCCTGATGAGATGAAATATGGTTCTGCAAGTAAGGTTAGATGATTAACTTCAGAATGATACAACCTTTATTTGAATCTAAGGGAACGTGATCCTAAGATAGGAAGAGAAATTTCCAGAAACTCTGGATGTAGATGAACAAAAACCATGTTTTTTTTCAACTGCTCCTTCATTTAGTAAATCAGGAAAAGTTACAATATTCTGCAATATTAGGAGAGGATCTTTCCTTATGATTCATTGTTTATTCTTGGTCTTTGTTATATAGATCATGTGTGGACTGAAGTATATTCTTCATCTCAGAAAAGGTGGCTTCACTGTGATCCCTGTGAAAATGTCTGTGATAAACCTCTTCTCTATGAAACTGGCTGGGGAAAGAAGCTCTCCTACATAATGGCATTCTCTAAAGATGAGGTAGGAGTAGTGATGTTGATAAAAACAAAACTTGCTCTGAGGCAAGTGTGTGATATATTCCATCTTAGTGTGACTTCCAGAATTATTATAGAAAACCATACTTTGATTAGCTAACCTCTTTAAATGAAGTAAGATATGTGGCAATTTTTGGTTGTTTTATTTTCTTCTTCAACTTGTGCTTGAGGTGGTTGATGTCACCTGGAGATACAGCTGTAAGCATGAAGAAGTGCTCTCTAGAAGGACAGCACTCAGTGAAGCTACGCTACGTGAAACAATTAATGCACTAAATAGAACGGTATGTAGCTTTTCGTAAGTGAAACATTAAGTGTCTTTCCAGAATGCGAAGTCCTTGTTCAAAGGAATGCATTTGGTAACCTGATAGAATGCCTATGCTCTATGGAATATGAAATACTGCTAACCATGCAGACCTCATTTTACACTGAATACAGAAGAATCAATTACAGTGCTGAACTTCTGTGAAATGAGATAGTGGTGTGTAAAAGGATTACCATATTATCTCTTACATAGTCAAATGTGTGTGTATACACTGTGTGTATATATCTAATATATACCATGTGTATATATGTTTTCTTGATGGCTTTGGAGTAGACTTGTGCATCAATAGATGTTGGGGATAAATGACAACTGCTTTGTAACTATGTGGGCTCCTTGAGGGCAGCTGAACATTTTCCACATCAATAATAGTATAACTTGAAAACAATGGTATTTATAGTTGTTAGAAATGTAGGCCTGGTTTTTTTCCATTACTTTTTACAAGGTCTAGGAAGTGGGAGGAGTGATTCACAAGCTATTTCTGAGACTTCCAAGAAGTACAGAATACTGTCAGTAGAGCTTTGGCTCAGAGCCACATTCACTGTTTGTGCCTAATGTCCCCAAAACTCATGAAGCCATTTGCACCTGTGTGTCATAGCTGCAGAAGCTGAGTGCCCACAGCACCTCTCTGCAAAGCTTTTTCCACTCCATGCTTGGGACCAGGATGAACTTTTGTTGACTTGATATATACTAGAATACCACAAAACCTCGAGCTATCTGTAAGGTTCCATTTTGTCCCCACTTCCTTCTAGGGGTGATCCTTGTGCATAGAAGTCCTGGTTCCTGTGGCATTATATAGCTGATACCTTAATAAACAGATTATGCCTTTTTAGAGGCCTGCTGGCTTGAGGGTTATAGTCACACACTGGGAGTGTGAAGAATGGAGCTGGACTCACGATTTCAAGCCCCAGCCTCAAATGTTTTATCAGTAATGAAAAATTAGTCACATAGCAGAGTGGAGCAATGAGAAGGCTGACCACAGAGTGGCAAAATAAAAGGAGGTAAAGGATCAGAAATTCAAGTTGAGGAATGCATGCGCTGTGTGCAAGGTTGCAGGAATTTAGTGATGTCCTTTCTGAGCAATGAACCCTTGCTGACTTCAAAAGTGATCTGAGGGGATGTTTTTCTGATCTACTGGCAATCGAAACCAGTCACCAGACTCCTCTCCTCCACCAGCTGTCCACAGCGAGAGAGAACTTTAGAAATGGGGCGCTAGTAAGTTGAAAAATTACGCTGACAAAATTGATGGAATCGGGAAAGTATGCACAACTGACTCATGGGCTGGCTTGCCTGACCTCCCTCTCACCTCAGTGATGTCACTGTAGGATCATGCTCTGTTTCATTTATGGAAGTTTAGAGAACTCCAGTAAAAAAGCATATGGTGGTCTCCAACAGGTGGTGCTGCATGTTGGTCTGTTGCCCTGTTTCTTACTCCTTTCCAGCTACTTCGTAGGACTGTGCAGCTCATAAGCTGACATGAGCACTTTTCAAACAGAAAGAGCGGCCGTTCTGGTCATGTTTTAAATAAAAACTTCATTAAAAACTGCGTACAGGGAAGAAAGCTGTACATGTGCTTCCAAGGTGCTCTTGTATTTCTCCTATCTTCCTTTCTCTACACGTGGACAATCCCAGCCCTTTCTTCTCTATGCTGCACGTTTTCCCTACCGCTTCCCAATATTATTAAGTCTGGTTTGTGATTTTTTTTTATAACAACTTTGTCAATCTTTTTAATGGTATCTTATTCTGAAGAATGACTCGGTCTCCCTTTCTACAAGTTGAATGATACTTGCATTCCTCTCCTCCCACACACGCTTCCTTTTGCCAAGTAGGTGTTCAGAGTGTTTGATTAATTAATTTACTAATTTAATAATAAATTTTAATCCCTGTAAGTAACCGTTCTTACTCCTTTTTATTTCTTTTGTCTCTTATAGTTGGAATTGGATTTCAGGGGCTTAGAGGTAGTTTCCATTGAATTGCTAAATGAACAGAGATTGTTTTCTACATTTGTCTTAGTCAAAGGGCCTTTCCTAAAGTTCATACTAAGGTGACAATCAGTGGGAATCAAGGGGCCATTAAAAAGCCGCTGTCTGAGGATGTCCATGTTGTATTCAGCAGCTTCTGAAGTCAGTAGAGGGGTAAGGCAGCTCATCCCTGGAATTATGAAGACATCTTATAGCAGGTTTTCATTACTCTTACAAGTCTTCATTTCAGCTAGTGTGCTGTTTCCTTCACTGCAATCTGTTCACCAGATAACTGACATAGGCAGAGGCCTCCACTAACTTTCACTTTCCCCATCATCTACTGGAGACTGGTTCCACACTAGGAAGGATTATAGTCATGGTATCTTTTGATGCAGAGCTCCAACACTGCACCTTTGTAGTTCAATTCTTCTAAGTTACAACTAAAGAGAAGCATGGTATGCAGTATACGTTATTGTCTATGCTGTAATGTTAGTGAAAATGGACTCTGAGAGATCATTTTTGCTCTTTCCTGGATAAAGAGCTGTGGCCATTATTTTTCTATGTGTCTGCTTGTTTAGTGGCCAAGCAGAGACCACACAACAGTTCGAAGGATGTTGAGTCACTCCTGGGTAGGACCACATAAATGATCTGAGGGCTAGAACACCTCTTCTGTGAGGAAAGGCTGAGAGAGTTGGGGTTCTTCAGCATGGAGAAGAGAAGGCTCTGGGGAGACCTCAGAGCAGCCTTCCAATACCTGAAGGGGCCTGCAAGAAAGCTGAAGAGGGAATTTTTACAAGGGCATGCAGTGATAGGACAAGGGGTAATGGCTTTAAACTGAAAGAGGGTAGATTTAGATTAAATATAAGAAAGAAATTCTTCACTATGAGCATGGTGAGGCACTGGAACAGGTTGCCCAGAGAAGCTGTGGGTGCCCCCTCCCTGGAAGTGTTCAAGGCCGGCTTGGATGGGGCTTGGAACGAGATGGTCTTTAAGGTCCTTTCCAACCCAAACCATTCTATGATTCTATGACTGGCTGTTAAATGGAAAAGAGGCAAGGATAATTTAATCCACTTGGTATACTATTTTGCTTTTCAGAAATATGGTGTGTGTTTTATTTGGGTCAAGCATTCCTAAACGAGTGCTTAGTCTCTGGATTACCAACTATCTGATGTTATTCTATAGTACCATATCACACCCTGTCTACGAATTTTTCTTCACCTACTTTGTATGGACACTACCCTATTCCAGTCCATTGTATGTTACCCCGTAGACGGGGGAGAGGACCCTGAACTTTCCACTGCTTTCATTGGAAGTTGAATGGTGAGGCAGGGAAACAAATTTTTAATTTGCTCCAGGCTGCATTTTTGGTAGTGATTGTAAATGGTTGTAGCTACAATGAGGTCAGCTCTTAAAAGGAAAACTAGTAATTTAGATTCAATTGCAACCATTTTGTGGTGATTGATGTGAGATGAGCCAGTATTCCTTGTGTAAAGGTTTAAAATTCAATTTCTACTCTTAAATTATCTGTTGTTTACCCAGCAGTGGGTCTGCTTAAATCACAGGTTATCGATCTGAAAGCAGAGTCCTTCAGGAAGCATCAACAGCATAATTTGCACGTGATGCAGGACTGGTTTTAAAGCTGCACTTTACAATCCATCTTCCTTCCTATTCCCTTTGTCTGCCAAAGAGATGTGGGGCCTGAGCATGTACGTAGAGGGTAGTGCCTGAAGGAAAAACAAAAGCAGGAAGTTTGAGCCATGACAGTTGATAATGGATTTCTTGAAATCTGTTTCAGTACATGAATGCTATTGATGACAGTGTCGTTTGTAGGAAATGCAGTTGCAGGTTTTCCCAGCACAGGCGGTGCTGATCTCTGCAGAGTCTGAGCTCTATGCATGTCTTAGGCTCACGTTTATCTGCAGGAGTCTGCCGGGTGGGGGGAGATAACAAGAATTAGCATACTTGTACTCTTTACAGTGGGGGAACTTACTAATTTCTTGTGTCATACAGAAGAGGCCTGTCTTCTGAAGTGCCTTTTTTGTGTTGAAGCACTGTTCTTTAACAGGTTTTTTTTCCAGACACTCTTACAACAGCTGCAGAGCAAGGGCAATAAATTCTTAGTGTGGCATTATGAATTTCAGTGGTGGTGACCCCTGACACTGGCTTCCTCTGAGCTGGAGTGAGATCTGTAGTACTCCTGTGGATACCCAAAGTGCCAGGGCAGATACTAAATTCAGGAAGGCCTGGTGTTTCATGAGGAACTGCTGGAGTTGCTGTGTGTCATCCATCAACACAAGCAGCGGTGCATTGCCCCCCTGCTGTGCTAGAACTGGTATTTGGCAGCTGGAATTTGTTCAGCTGGAGCTGTTTCTCATCATTTCTCTGTGTCTACTTTTCTTTATCCAGGTTCTACAATGTTGTCTGGAATAAAAAACATTCAAATACCTCTTTTCTGATCCCTAATAGTAAAACTTTCTGGGGTCAGGACTGCTTTTGAGATAATTCGAATACTTACTGGACTAAAATTTCAGGTCCTGGTGGACTGAGTGTGCATGCCTTGGGTGATCACCAAAGCAGAAAAAAAAAAGATGATGTGTAATCATTTGCATACTCAGTGTTGAACTTCATTTTCCAATCCTGTGTGGGTGTATCCACAGTTAAGGAAAAAGGCTTCACATATCAGCTCTGTGTATTTGGCATGAAAATCATGGAGACAAAACCTCAGCCTCTCAATGAGTTTTAAAGTTGTGTATCAAAAAAAGGCCCATAGTTTTATTCATGTGAGCAAAGAAATCATGTTATGTAATTCTTTTTCTTTTCCACTGGTTTAGCTGGGGGTGTAGGTGATACATTTTTCTCAGTTTTCTGATATCTGCAAAAATATGAATATCATAGTTTGTTTATGGTAGACTCAGTCACTGTGAAATAACTCTTTTAGAGACCAGCTGATTGTTTGGACTTAATCACAAAACCAAGACTGTTGCCAACCAAATCACTTCACCTTAGAGAAGAAAAGTTTGACCCAAAAATTGCACTTGCTTTCTCTTTCCCCAAAATACTATCAGGAACAGCTATGGTACAGAATATATGTGAATAGCTATAAAATATGTTATGGAAGTGTTTCACCATCGAAGCAAATGTCTTATACCTGTCTTATACATGTAGCACAAACCTTATTCCACATAGTTAGTGCATGAAATTTCACAGAAAAAGCACTGCTGTTGAATAACCTTGCAGTTATGACTGATTTATATTTACACATGTGGTGCAAGATTAATGTTTCTAACAGTCAGTCTAGACTTTAAATGTTATGTATCTGGGGTTTTTTTTCAATTATTTGTTTCACCGTTGGTGTCACTCTAGGACAGAATTACAAATACCATTTTTCTGAATTTTTTACTTTGTTTCTTAAATGTATTTTCAGAGACAACAATCTTTGTCAGAAAATAGAAGAAGAGAGCTCTTGGAAAGAACAATTGTGGAGCTTGTAGAATTTATTTCTCCTAAAACACCTAAACCTGGAGAATATGGTGGAAGAACATCAGGTTCAATGGCTTGGCGAGTAGCGAGAGGTGAAATTGGTCCAGAGGTATTTAACTTGCACTGGTGACTCTCTTAGAGGTAGCTAACTAGAGGTTCTGTGATTGTGGTCTGCAGAGGAATAGCGCTTCATGGTAGGTAACCCACAGGTTTAGTTCAAACAGTGAAACTTGTGAAAACATTAGGTACAAGTTTGATGTGAATTCAGTGCAGGTCCACAGGTAATTTGTGAGGATTGATGATGGTCTGTTGATTATAAAAATGTTTGGGAATCCTTGATCTAAAGTGTGTTTTGCTCTTTTAAGTTAATAAAAATACCTTTTTTCCTTTTAATTAGTTAGCGTGACAGAACTAGAACACTTAAGGCAGTTGAAAGCAGTTGGGAAAACTTAAAATGTTTATTTGTATTATCAGTTACTATTGTTTAAAGCCTGGAAGTAGGTTTTGACCAACTACTTTTGTTAATACAAGAATATGGGAGCGATTAGGAATGTGTAAGTGGAACAATATCTTAAATAATAAGCTAAACTGATTTTCCTGTCAATATTTTTGACTGTTTCTGAAAGCAAGATTTTAATTATTTTATGCTAAGATACTGTTTCCCAGAAACATAGCCATGTTTAGCTTGAGGCAGCATGCAAAGGTGTGACTTACCCATCACTCGTTAAATACAGTTTTGTAGTGATCCTGTCATGTGAAATGACTGATGATCCTAAATAGAACCAGTTAGGTTAAATTAAGGAGTTTCTTAGGATTGTTAAAGTTTGAGAAATTAAGAGTTTATTTCAGTTCTTCATATTTTAGAAGATTTAATTTCTGCTTTGCTGAAACTCAGAACAACAATGACAAATCTTAAAAAAAAAAAAAGTAATACTGACAAGTTATGACGTTGGTACGTCATGTTTTTTGAAGTTGACCTGTAAAATGTAGTATACAAGCACTTATATGATAGTCACAGAATTACATTTGCTATTCAAACTAACCGTTTACTTATTGTACAAGAAATATACTCAACATAAAATTTCTATTCCTAACATGTTAATCTGTGAATTAGATTTTCTATTTTTAATTTATTAGTAATTTACTTCTAAAAGGAGTTGTATGAAAATTCTAAAAAGAAAATTACTACTCACTCTGGAGAAGGTGCAAGTCTATTGTAGGAAACTGATTTAGAACTTTTGTTTTGCAGAAATGCTTTTGTCCGTGACCTCTCTTAAAAATGACATTTTTTTCAATTGGAAGCAAAACTGAATTGGGAAGCCATGGCATGCTGTTTAAAAGTAACAGTCTTACTGAAACGTACTGGGGAATGAAAGTGCTTGTATTTTTTGTCTTTTTCAGAAAAGAAAAGAAGTAATTTTTATTCCCTCTGAAAAAGAGAAGACATCTAAACTCTTCCACCTCATCTACAATATAGTAGAAGATAGTTATACGCGGATTTCCAATAATAATGAAAAAATAACTGGCTGGGAAACAGGTGTTTGGAGAGCAGAGTCTATTTGGAGAAAGGTTGAAACAGATTGGAAAATGGTAAGGATAACAATTATTCAAAATGTAAAATCTACTGTAAAAGTATGGTAACTCCATGAAATAGAAAGCTTTTGCCAGTATTTGACATGAAAACATCTCTTGGTGCCCGTAAAATTTAGCTGATGTTAGTAAATGTTGCTGTTAAGCTTCAGGTGAGATTGCCAGTTGACTTAAGAAACTGGAAATAAATTTAGCTTGTCTTTCGGAAAGGATGACCAAATTCTGTGCAGATAGGTAAAATCCTTGCAAAAGTACCAAATTTAAAAAAAAATGTTTTACTGCTTATGCTTTTGGGCAAACACACAATATTGTGTTATTGAAAAGCAGTACTTCTCTCCAAAAAAATATTTTGTTTGTTTTGGAGAACAGTTTTATAGTGTATCACCTCTTTGATACACAGCCAAAGGAAGAAATTATCATCCTAAATATTATGGTTCCATCTGCAAGAAGGCAAAAACCTGTCAGTTATGCGGATTATTGTATACCCTGCCCAGACTCCTTCCCATCTGTCAGGACATGGAGCAGCAGAAGAGTCGTATGCTCTAAATCCAAGAAGAGGACGGATGCCTGTGGGATGGGAAGGGGTTGTTTACTAGCAAACAGCTTTTCCCACAACAGCTACCAAGCGTGGAACTGAGCATTCCTGTCAGGGACTATAGCACGTCATTGCGTTGTTCCCCTGTCACTTTACTAGACTACTCTGAAAGGTCTCTGGCCAAACATTCTTCTAGCTTAGACAATGGTTTTCTTCCCATTGATGAAAAATGGAGCGAAGTGGGTAGCTGTCTTCTGAGGTTTTCTGTGCTAGGTCCATACATAACTGACTTGCCAAATGCATTGGGGAATGGCTTGGAGAGGTTATTCTACGTAAAAGAGAAGGAATAAGGGAAGCAAGTGGAGAATAATATACAAAATGTTACAACAGGGTAGTCTTAATAGGAAAAGAAAAGTAACAAAAACTCAGAATGAGGGACAACTGTCCTCTGCTTCTCTAGGACCTGCTAAAAATCTGATAGCACATTGTATCTTCAAGTCTCCAATGATCAGTTATCCCCACTTTTGCAAGAAACATAATGTCTTTGCACTGAAACCGATTAGGAGTCTGCTGTTCTGCTCAGCTCTTCTAATTGGATAAAACAGGGAGAGACAGATCTGTAAGACCAGGCAAAAAGACTTTACCCTTGCATTCAACAGCAGCTCAGTTTTTCTAGATAAAGGATGAGAGGATGGCCTTGAGAAATTAGGAGCTACAGCTCCAGGTATATCTCAGGCTTGTGGGTAAGGCATGTTAGTTCTACAGGAACAGCATTTTGCAGAAAGTCTGTGTATGAATCTAAAATGACTTTTTGCTGAAGGTTGTTTGTATTATGGGATACAGCAGAGGAGAGGTTGTTTGGGGTTTTTTGCGTGTTCTTTTTGTAATGCCTCCAGTAGATCTGCAAGGTATGGATTTGGAGTTTGATTCAGCAGCTGTTCAAGAAACTTACCAGCCAAAGGAGCCTTCACAGAAATATTTTGTTTATCATGTAGTATGTGCTGAATGGAAAGCAATTTAAATATAAAAGCCACAGTGAAGGGAACTATAGGTGTTAGCCCAGGAGTAACAGGGAAGAACCATCAGTTATGTATTCTGTCTTTGCAATGTTGTTGATCAAAAGGATTCAGATTGATGATCATCTGGGCCAATCTGATAGTAGTCATCTCCATTGTATTTGTATATTTTCTTGCTATTCAATATCACTTAACTTTATGGTACACAAAGAGTAGGTGATAATAAGAATGTAAGAACTTGTAGATCTGAAATCCGTGGGTTTCTAAAAGCTTATTTTCCAGTAGAATTACTTCAGTGGAAGAGAATTTGAATGAGTCTTTTTTTTTTTTTTTTTTTTTTT